CTTATGATTGACTATTCTGATATAGAGTTATTATAATACACGCGAAAAACATTTGTATAAATGCGTACAGAATAATAATAATAAAGTCACTTATTTATATAGGTGATAGTTTAATTCTATAGACACCGTTTCCCATTACAGAAAGCACAGCAATTGCCAACCCAAAACTGAATTCTCGGAAACGATCACGGCCAGAATTTTCTTCGCTTCCGATGACAATCTTGACAAGATCGATGCATGAAATACAATTTTCTTGCTTTATATTCCATTGCCGGTCGTGAAAAAGTTCCCCCGAAATATCGAGCCGATCAAAATTACTCCGCCACAAAGAGACTGAGAAAGCAGATGGGCGATCGAATTATAAACTAAACCAATCCGACCTGGCCTGTCGTCTATTGATGCCCTGCACCCAGTCAATCTGCCAGTGCCAGAAGACGATAAACAAAAACACAGATTGGGGGGGGAGCAAAAAATTGAAGAACAGCCTCGGCAGCAGCAACAAAGAAATAGAACGTGAGAAATATTATTCGATGAAGCGCCAAAGTAAACGCTTTGAAAAGTTGTTAGTTTATTCCCCCCGCTGCTGCTCCTCCAGATTTGCCGCCCGTCTGCAACCCATTTTGCGCCTGGTACACGCTACTCGTCGTCGTCTTCGAAAAACCTTTCTGAAGGTTGATTGTGAAAGTCACGATTAGAGCAAAGTCACACTCCCCGAATCGAATGAATGACGATCTGCGGCTGAGGGCCTCCTCCTCCTCCTCCTCCTACTCCGCCAACTTGGCTGTTCATCCAGAATTTGGCAATTCCCGATGCGGTTTTACTTTTCGGTGACAAATTGGCAAATTGGCTGGGCGAAGTGAATTGCGCGTGTCATTAAAACGCCGACTACGTTTGAAATGCACCGACTGCAATGAGTGAATGAATTGGAGAACCAAAGGGGATTTCGCTTTCCGCGGCACAAAGAGGCGCAGAACACACCTTTGACTGGCGAATTGCGAAATTGTCGCCGCTGGGAGACACACCCGATCGAAGGGAGGCAAAAAAAAAATCCCAGTCGGAGACGAACCAAACCCGGAGCTGCTCTGGGTATTTGCCGCATTTATTAAAAGCTTATACCCTTCACCGAAATGATAAACAACTATTGCGAGGCGGTTTTAAGTCGCTGTGGCATTAGCAGCTCAGCTTCTGAATTATAATATCTTACAGCGATTGAGCGCACGAATATACCGATAGGAATATCAGAAGCTACAAGCAAATGCTTTTATATCACTTTTTTCTATTTTTGTTATGCTATGTTTAAGACAAACACATGTTTTACTTAAGGTGTTTACAAAAAATTCAGAAGAGAAATTAGCCCATTTGTAAAACATTTAGTTTTTTTTGTTTTTCTTAAATTTTTGTTAGAGTATAGCCCACTTTCGATCATCAAACCTCTCGAATTTCCCCATTTATTATTTCTTTCCAAATCACTTGAAGCTGGCTTCCAATTGCGAACTCAGATCGCGGCTGCGAGTGAGGAAACGAGAAGTATGAAGTCTTTTTCCGACTGCCACAACTGAGTGAGTGGCTTTGCCACATTCTACACCTACGCCTACACCTCCAATGGCATAAACAGGCACTGGAAGAACTACTTATTAACTTACCTATTAAACTAAGACTGTACTTATTCCAGTACACTTATTATTGTACTTACAACTAATAACACTCTACTTCTTCGTAGATTTACATTCTTTTCTGCATATGTTTTGAATATTACAAGAAATCGTATTATATATGGCCTATGTAATTTTTTGCAGTGCTCAGCTGGATGCTCCCACATGCCGCTGGCTGTGGTTGTTGTTGCTGCTGCCTTTGTCGCATATCACTTACAAAACGCAGAAGAGCGATCCACACCCAAAAAGCAACAGCAACACACAACACACCAAACAACACCCAGGCAACCCAAGTGCAACAACGAAACTTCCGTAAGCAGTCGACAGTTTAATGACTTTGATGACGCAGCGTGTGCTTTCAATTCACAAATACAACTCGACTGCCAAGGCTCCACTTCCAGTGTTGTTGCTGCCTTCGATCTGCGGCCTATGTTGCAGTTGCTGCAGTTGTTGCAGTTGCTGCCGATGCTGCAGATGTTGCTGTTGTGCTGCTCACGTTGCTGCTGGGTGTGAGGGTGTTGCCGCTGGAACTGCGTTCTGTGGGCGTCTCTCAAATCGCTTTTATTATTATTTTATTTTCATCCATTTGGCCACTGCAGCATCGGCTGTTGGCAGCAAATGTTAGTCGAAGATTTGTGGCAAGCATTTTTTAACGACAGAGTTTGCCCAGCCTAGAAATGAATTTAGGTCACTGGGCACAGGAAAAGCTATTTTCTTTTGAAATAAAAAAAATCGTTTAGCTTCTGCAGTTCTACTAGTTAGGTATTCCCAAAAGATAAGATATACTAGAGCAAAAAAAAGCCCAAAATAAGTATCTCAAAAACCTACGCTCGTTTGCTGTTGCAATCGGCCTCAAATATCTTACCTAAAACGATCCCAAGAGACACACGAATCTTAAATACCATTAAAAATCCATTCTTCCAGCTGACAATCCAATCCGGCAGCCAAATTCTTAACGTTCAACCAGCGAGACAAACTGTCAACCGCAAACACACGGACATTACTCATACGCCACATGGGACTTGATGTGCGCTGAAGTCTATTTACATGTTTAATTGATGGCTGCGATGCGATTGCCGCGGAGTTCTCCGTTTTTATATAAGTTTTAATTTATTTGCAATAAATTTTTGCTGGACTTCTGTTTGTTTTCCGAACATGTGCCGCGAAAATGAGCCAATTAAAGAAATGCTAACAACCGCCGAGAACCGTAACAACCTTGCGACCATAAAAGCAGCAACAACGAAAAATTGGCACACACACGGCGAGAGTGAGACAGAAAGAGCGGCCAGAGGGAGACAGAGAGGCCAGAGGGATGGGAGGAGGAAGAAGAGGACGAGGAGCCTTCCTGTGGCTCTTGGCCAAAGTAAAACCAATCAAGTGGCGCACAGTGTCACTATTACCACCTGACATTTACACAAATCTTGCTTTATGCCTCCAATGAAATGAAACAACAACAGTGTGCGACGATGGACGAAAACTGAGCTGCACAGGGCGAAAAAATGTACACTTATACTCAAATTATAATAATATATATGGACATTTCTAATGGAATCAAAGAGTAAAGTTTTTAATATGATTGTAGCTTATTACAATGTGATAGGTAGGCAATGTGATAGCCGTATATTAAGACTGTACTTCTTATCCCGGTAAGAGAAGTCTTTTAGAACTCAGTCCTTAGTCATATTTATGAAGTAAACCCATAAGGCATTTTAATATTTTTTTTAATACTTTTTCGGCCAGTGCTTTCGCCAAACAAACAAACAGACCAGCAAACGACATCGACGACTTCCTAACAACGCCGGCTGGCTGGTACGTTTGGACCTGGTCAAAACGCTGCTCTGGCCTATCGCGATGCAGCGATCTCGGGCTCGGACTCAGGCCCAGGCTCAGGCTCAGTCTTGGTCCCAGGCTGAAGCTGCGGCTAAAGATCTGGCTGAGACCCTGGCCGAATCTGAAGAACAGGCCTCCGCCGGAGAGCGTTCGGCAGCCAGCAGACCAGGCGGCTTATCTTAAGAGCCGACCAGCAGCAGCCAAGACCACAACAACCATGGCCAGAAACACCAGCAACGCCGAACAACCGGCGACGAGGAAAAACTCTTTTGTATGCTGAGCACATGCGATGGAACGATGGAGCTCCGCATTGCCTGCCTGCCTTAAACTGATCGCTAACAATCAATTTATTGATTGAGGTCTCAGGTGTAATCGATAAGAATGTTTTTCTTTCCGCGCTCTCCGTAGCGCTGGCTTTTGTCTTTTGTCAGGTCGGTTTTTTGCTTGACTTAGTGCTCCAGTTTGGTGCTTTTTGCCTGGCCTAACATATGACATGGCTACATGACATTATCCGACTGCGATCCGCATTTGTTTATCTTAATGCATCGCTGCAGCCCAGGTCGCCATCGGTTGGTAGTTTACACATGACTTAGCGATGGACACTTGACACGGCATCCACGGCATCATTCGAATTAAGGTATTCAGAGGTGTATCTCGAGAACAAAACTTGATCGAGCCATAAGTTTATTTCAATTACACGATGATGTTGTCTGGGCGATAACAAACCACTGATCTAATAGCCGTAATGGGTAGGGGGAATCAAAACAATATAGCACAAAGATTACCAGTGATATAATAACTGTTGTAACATTTCTAGAGCTCGTCCTTTTCAAAGGATTCGTGGTAAAAGTAAAAGTTACTTGGGGCATATTACTTATAAATAGGTATGTACTTAAAATCTTTAAGTAGCCCATTGTTTGCTGTGGGTTTCCAATTTGTCCGCTTTCCAAGAGACCGATTCCCACACCCCCGATAAAATTATTCTGCGATAGGAGCCAAGTTCTCAGGATAGACCAGCTTCACATTGAGATCGCTATCTGCCGGCCTTTGCCATCTCCAATAGAATCTGGGACTTAATTAGCCGCTCGGGGTTCATTGAGGAATTAGCCGGGTGCACATGGCTATGGCTGATGGCCTGGCCTGGTCTGGTTGGTGGGCGTTCTCCATGTGTGTTGGCTGGCCAAGTTGGAGCAGGCAGCTTCGATGTTTATTGCAGCGCTCGCTACAGATTTGGTTAACAGTTAACAAGCTTATCGCTCGATACGGCAAACAAAGGTGACGCGGCCGCTGCGCAGCTGTTCGCATCGAAATAAAAAAATCTTTTGATATTCGCGGGCATCCTGCATTTAGTCTATATGTAGATATTTGTATACACTTTTTTTTTGTTTTAGCTCCTCCAGATAATTAAGGCAAGACGCTGGCTGGCCGGCCAAGGCAAAGTCAGGCAGCCAACAGCTGCACTCGGGCCACCTAACCACCGGACCACCGGACCACAAGACCAATTTTGGCCAAAAGGAATCACAGTGCGGTCGGTTGGATGGCTTTGTTGTTGCGGCCGCGGCGGTTAGCCTTGTTAGCCTTAGCCGCCGAATGCAGATGCAGATAATGATCTGAGTTGGGGGCGGTCAATTTAATGGTTAACTATTAATAACGTGATACGAAATTGGCGTTAATTTGTAGAAACATTCCCCGCCGCATGCACGGACTAATTTGAGCAAATCCAAAAGTGTAGCAGGCCAGGACCAGGCCAAAAAAGGATGTGAATGGTGGTGGGTGGTTGTATGTATGGACGTTTGGCCTTACATTGCTTTGCCTTTTTGTACTGCTTTATTTTTTGGCTGCTCCCGAAGTCATGAGTCAAATTTTTTTGTTTGGCAAACACGAAGAGCGAGCTGCTGCCGTTGCACGACTTGTAGACGCTGCTCGAAGAATTCTTTTTCACAGCTCCGAACAGAAATCCGAGGGGGCGGATGGCTGGCTGCATGGAGGGGAACTTCCAAAACATACACCTATTGGAAAGGTAGAGCTAAACCAGTGCCGCGTTTTCAGCTCATTCGGCGGACCAAGTGTGCTCCAGTAGACAATGCAAATTGCTAATATGCGATTGCTATGCAACTGGAGTCGGAGACAAATTTTCAAATATTTTTTGCCTGCTGAATTGTTTGTTTTGTTTGGTTTCGCTTATTTGTTTGTCTTTCGGCGAGCGCACCGCACTTATGACCAATAAATATGCAGCCAGCCTGGCTCCGTTTCTCGTTTTTTCTTTATTTTTTTTTGATATTTTTCACTGCAGGCATTGTCTGCCGCTTGCGAAATTAGCTTGCCAGGCTAATGAGCTACACGAAAAGATCTTGGGAAACGCCGGATCAGCGGATCGCTCCAGCTGGCCGAGATCCTTAGATGCAATCGTTTCGGGCTTATCGATCCGATAAATGGCACTGTTTTGAGGAGTTTTGAGGAGTTTCGAGGAGCAGCCCGGCCAGCCTTTTGCCTCATTATGATTCGTGTGGGCCACGTTGACTGTGATGACTAACACGAATCGATCGTCGCCGAGATCTCCGTACTGCCAGTCGTTGTCAGCTTTCGAATTGTTTGCTCACGAAAGCGTGGATCTACTTTGGATGTGCTGTGCTGTGGTGTGGTGTTGTATGGAAGTTGTGTTATGTTGCAACTGCGTGGTTGTTGCCTCCTTGTTCGCTGTATATTTTTCGCTCGGATCTCTTCGCATGATCCTCTTTCTTTACCCCCCTCCCCCTCCACCTTTTTTTTTTTTGGTTTTTATTCATTTTTCGACTCGGCCTGAGAAGATGCGCACGCGGGCGAACACTGTGCAACAGGTTTGGATTCCTCCTCCGGTTGGCACTTTGATTTATGCTCGCCCAGATGCAGGGCACCGCACTTAACGGGCCGAGGAGGGACTTCTTGAGTGGCTTTCGATTAGCCCCGGGGTCCCGGAGAATCGGGGGTGTTCCACTCCAGAGCAGGTGCCCTCTGAAAACCACATAGGATTTCTCTGCGGCAAAGGTTGCCGGTGAGTTGGTTGAGTTAGAATCATTTATGCTCTGGTAACTTTACATTCAATACAATAGATGCTTATGAACCAGTTAACGATTTTACGATTTATCAGTCAAGGAATAAATCTAGAGAAGCAGGCCTAAACGTGTTTCTTAATTACGAAATGTCTAAGAAATGTGGAGTCGCCTCCTAAAGAGCGGGGAATTCAGTGTTTGCATAAACTTTCAATTACCAATTGCCAAATCATCCTCCCCTCCCACAAATTCCATCGGGCCGCACCCCATTCCATTCGCCTGTTGTCCAGTGTAATCTTTTCAAAACTTCGTGTGGCATATGCTGTCTAGCATTTTGTTGCCGGTGGTACTGGTGGATCTGGTGGATCTGGCGGTGCTGGTGGTGCCGTCGGTGGTGGTGGTGTGTCAGTTGCACGATTGCCAGAGACAACGTGTCTCCAGTGTCATCAGCATCTCCATTTTTCTCCGCTTGTTTCAATGTTTTCGGGTTAGTGCTGCCACCGAACATCCGAGGGCACCCCAAAACTTGTACACTGAGACAAAGTGCCGTGAAGTTCTGTTCCTTCCCATCACAGTTGAATATTGAATAAATTCCAGGCTTTAAAGCTCAGTGATTGAGACATTCCAAGCCTCTTGTTTCAAGGCACTCCTAAATCTTGATGCGACACACGTATAAGCTTTTAATGACGCGTTTTTCACAGTGCATATTCCGATGTTGTTGGAGGCGACGCTGGCCGCTGTTATAGTGCAGAAAAATTACTATGACAACGCTGGAAACAAGTAAACCACAGTTTACATTCACTCAATTCGGTTCCGGCGAGGGTGGCGGGCTACGGCGGTGGGATCTCCGACAGATGGGGATTGCGATGGGGATAGGGCTGAGGTTGGAACTGGGTATGGGAGATGGGGGATGGGGGATGGGGGATGGAGATGGAGCCCGCAGAGACAGAGACGGGAATGGCAGAATCGTGGCGTGGTGGTGGCACGCTCATCTTCAATTTTTCTACGATGCGACGTCGCTTGGGTCGGGTATTTCTTCTCTTTCTGGCCGTCTGTACATTTTTGCTTTTTTCGGCGGCGGCGACTCACACTCGTGTTCCTTGCACTCTACTCCCGGGTCTTGGGCTCAGTTCCCCGATTCCCTGATTCCCCGATTCCCCGTTTGCCTGGCTCCCCAGCCCCTCGGCCACGGTCTGAGCCCGGTCTATAGTCTATGGGGTCTGGGCCCGATCTGCGCAGCGAGATGAGTGGTTGGCAAAAATGTTTGAATGCGATCACGAACTTGACCTTTCACATAACCTCAAAAGCCAGTCACAGTCACTCAGTCAAGTCAAGTCAAGTCAACTCGATGCGCTACATACGCGCCATGTTAACCAGGCCCAGAGACACGGAGGCTCGTCGTCTCCACCCAGTTTCACTTGGGTACCCGGCCGCGATCCCCAGACCATCTGCTTGCCCATCTCGAATGGTCAACCCGCCCGGGTGTCAGCCGAGGCATAATTAAAAAACAATCACCGCCGACCGTCCACACGCCCATCCGTTTGTATGTGGGTATCTGCAGCCCCCCCACGCTTCTCTCCTTCCGGAATCGCAATGTGCGGGATCTGGGATTGGGGGATCTCGTGGATCTTGTGGATCTGGGCGAGGCCTGGTGTGGTGCCTCCAATCTCCAGGTCGCTGGCTGCCGCCAGCGATTATGAGATCTGGCTTCAGTTGACTATCGCTGAGGGAGCAGCAGATGCATTTGCCAAATCAGCAGCGCCGGCCAGATACCCGAATCGCAATCGATGAAGTGCAGCAATGGGAACATATTGCGGGATTAGACGGTAGCTTTCTCTGTAAAATAGTCATCGCAACAGTGAGCAGTGAGTATGAACTTAGGAGATCCCTTTCATTTAGGCACCTTAATCCACAGATTACGAACCCAATGGAATGATTTATGATAATATTATTCGGTAGTCTGCGGTTGATTCAGCGCACTTTAGTCTAGATAAGATTACTAAATAGTTTACTGTATTTTAACGATCCAATACTGCTTTGATCACGGTTCCCATTTCCCCTAACCCATGCCCATTCCATGGCTTCCACTGCGCCCACCTGCCCGTCACATTTTCACCTTGCCATCAATATGCCCCAGCCCAAGATGCTTGGTACTCGAGCACTTCACTAAATGTTGCATATCATTCGATGGATGCCGTGGATGCTCCAACATCGTCGCCTAGTCGGATCCCCTCCCGCTCCCGTTCCCGCTCCGTTCGGGCTGGGATCTCCGTCTTAAGGTCGTTCGCTCGCTGGATCGACCCGCGTGTAGCCGCATCTACTTAACCTGGAAAGCCTATGCCCCTGAGTGGCGAGAGGCCGATCGCTCGGTGGTTAGGCGGTTCGGCGGTTCGCGGTTCGGCGGTGGTGTGGGATTGTACGATGTTGGGCTGTGTTTTTTGTTTTTTCCAGCTTTTTTGTTTTTTTTTTCTTTTTGGTTTGGGTTAGGCAGCGTGGATGTCCCAGGCTCGGCTCCGAGGCTCTCCAGCCCGATCTTCGGGCTCCACCCTTCTGCCCACTCCTGGAATGGTGGCTAGTTCAACAGCTTTATTTATGGGCTGTTTGGGTAGCTTAAATAAATCAAGTTGTAGTTGCAGTTCCAGCTTCCCAGCACACCAGCACACCAGCTCACCAGCTCACCAGCTCTCACCTCTTCTGGGCACTGCAATTAGAGTTGGTGGGAATTTGGCACTGTCTCCGGCGTTCTGGGGCCTTTTGGCCGCTTTGCCCTCCATTCATTGGCAATTTGAGGCTATCTATCGCTGCGCCGGCTAATTGCATAATTATTTAAAGCCCATAATTTATGTGTGCCGAAAAATCTCGGCTCGGGTGGCATGGCTTTAGTTTCTGTGTGATGACCGTTAAGGTTGGAAATTAGCCCGGACCATTATGTGCCGTTTGTTTTACAAATTTTAACGCTATTTAACACATTCGCCACGGATCTGTGGCTCGCTGGACCGGTGGACCAATGGATCCGCAGACCTGGAGACCTGTGGACGCTTTGGTAGCACGCCATAAACCATTAGCATGAGAGATTGGTGTCGCCGCCTCTCTATGCGCTTCTCAAATAGCTATTGTGGCCAGGTGAGCGCATTGACAAAATTAATGATGCCCTCACTAATATCATGCCTAATTGATTAATATGCGCGGCGAGACAACCACTTTTTGACTTTCGGCTCGAGCCTTAGCTCCAGCTCCAGCTTCAGCTCCATCTCCAGCTCCGGCCCAGCTCTCTAGCTTGGATATCTTTAATGGACGGAGTGGAGCTCGGATTTTTAGCTGTTAATCTTACTGTATAGCCATTTAAGGTAAGCTCTCTGGCTTCTTAATTAAATTAGGTGTACCGCTGGGCACCCTACGGCTGGGATGGCCGTGTAACTAACCATCTATTTATCTAGTCAAGTTTTTGTGGCTTTTTCGGGTTTTCGGGGCGTTGCTGTTAACTTCGAACACATACACTCACACACACACACCTCGCACACATCGAGGCAAAGAGAAAGGCTGGCAAAGGTCAAATGGTCAAACAGTTGGTGGTTGGCTGGTCGGACGATCGCTCAAGTGGCTAAAACCAACACGAACTTACCCTCACCAAATCGGCAGCCACTTGTTGTGGGTCAGGTTCCTGGGTTCCTAGGTTCCTCGGTTCCTGGGCGTTGGATATAGAGCGGTACTCGCAGCGGAATCAGCATGGGCCTAATGGGCCCACAACCGATCTGCTGATGATCACACGGCGATACTCATCAGGCTTTCACGTATGAATGGCTCCGCCTGATGAGCATTAGGCAATGACTAACGTTTTGTCTCCCCTTTTGTTTGAACTTGTCTGCGAGATTGCCGGATAATCTCGGCCCCCGATCCACGGGGGAGAAGCGGGGATGTGGGGAAGTGGGAGTGGGGAAGCCGTAGGAGATCTGAGGAATTCAGTGTTTTGTCTTTTTGATTGGAGGAGTGTGATCATAGGTTGATATAAATGCTGATAGATATCGTTAACATAGATCTCTGTATCGTTCCCAACGAGCTGCGCTCTTACTTATCGAATAGATTGTTTGCTCGCCCTTTGTTGCTCATCAAGAATAGCTCTTTTATGATCCGATGAAATATCATAGATTAGAACCAAGGTATTTGTTATTGTTATTAATTTTGGCCAATATTTAATTAAGCTTCCTTTTATCTTGAGTTTTATTGCTCATAATTATCAGGATTCATTGAATTCCTCCAAATTAGTTTTCGTATCTACTAGTCAGACTTATAAGCGTTAAAAATCCAAGTTTTATACTACATAATAATTATAATCGTATTGTTTCTATAAGGAGTGTAAGATACCCATGATGCAAATAAGTTTTCTGTTTTTAGCTTTCGTTCCACCCACCATAGGTATTCCCAAAAATATATTTTCAGCACTCTAGGCCCAAAAAAAATCGAACTTCATTAGAGAAGAAATGCAAATTGGTCTTGTAACTCATTTCTCTAGACATTCGGTGCTCTCAAACTCGCGATGACCTGATTTTGTTCTCAAGTGATCAACTTGCGGCGGCCATTTCACTGATTAATTGTTTTCGGCCCAGTCGGCATGCGAGTTCAGGTTGAGTCAACTTAGATAGCGTATAATTAGCAACTTACCGCGCGGCGATCGTAAGCTCAAATCAACTGGTTCAACCTGAACCGGAGGGCCCTCTGCCTGTGGATTGGAAAGAAATTAAAGATTATCGGCACCGTCATCAATATTGCTTATCGCCGGACAGCGGGGGAGATTCAGTATAGCGCATTATGCATGCAGTCGAACAATAGAGTCATAAGCTAATCAAGATTGACAAAATGCTGTTGATGGGCGAAAGTGTTGGATGGTCAAGAACACGGAGTTCACTGGGGGTTTTCAGGGAAATGTATGGAGTGTGCGTGCTTGGAAGCTGTTTGCTTATTGAATTCACCTAGCTGGAACCACCGCAAATGACTTCCGTCGATATTTGGCTTACTCCATATGGAAGATCGGGCCAGATAAGTGGGAAGAAACCGAAAAACCGCAATTGTTGCGCATTTCATGTGCTTACGAAATCTTTAGCCAATAAACTAACGGCAATAAAAACCAAAAAAAAAAAACGAAAAGAAAAAAAAGTTAAAAGCGGCGAAAAATAACAAAGAAACAGTTATGAGCTGCCCGCAGCGCCATAAAATGGATAAATTTTAATTTGGCACTGCATATGCATTTTTTGCGGGGAATGGGGTGCCAGAGCCAACACTTTGCAGTATTATTTAAATGAGGCTTATAATACTACAATATTTTAAGGGTGTTTTCGACCATGACTTATCACACAGAGTGGCTACAAAAAGTTTTAACGCCAAGTACGTTACGAAGCTTAGGTTCACTCTTTGCCTACTTTAATAACCGCTAAATCTGCACAAAGGACAAGCGTTCCAATGATGATATATGCGATGCAACAGCTGGCAGGGTTAAAACCCTCCAGTTATTCTTTTGACCAGTCAACGTGGTTAAGCCAACTTGCAGGGTAGCCAGGCAGCCTGATGCCAACAACACGGTCGCAAACAACGCCGGCAACACCAACAACCAGCGGCGACAACCGACAACCAGCACGGCGAACAACCAAGTCAGCATCCATGGATGCCCAGATGCAGAGTGTGTGCCCAGTGGGCAACAACGACAATTGTCAGGCTTGTAGCGCAAATTATGAAAAAATGTCCGTGGCGAGTGGGCGAAAAGATGCTGGGATGGCCAAGAGAGGGGTCCCCCGAAGGGGGGGCTCGGGTTGGGGAGCACCCAGAACTTGGCCACGCGATGTGAGCAGTTGTTTACCGCTGTCGCCGCTTACTGCCATGCAGTTATTTAAACAAACAAATGCTCATTGCCAGCATTAGATTAGATAGTTTGTCTTCGATTGTGTCGAATGGCAGCCGTGGGGCATTTTTGGGTTTCTTCACTATCCGCTTTATGACCCACAACATTGACAACAACAACTTCATTGGCCGGCAGCGGAGATCGATATCTGGATCTCGATCCAGATCCAGATCCAGATCGAGATCGAGATCGAATTCGAGATGGGAGACGGCGATCGACGCTGGAGATTGCAATTGATATGCGACTGATGTTGGCCCCTGTCCAAAGGTATTTATATTTATATTTCTTGGCCCCCATTCACTTTACCCTCTAATTGCCCGCGCTGATTTATTGTTATATAGATTCCGATTCCGATTCCAATTCCAATTCCGATGCACCCGTCTTCCCCCAAACTGCCTGCTTTATGATATTGTTATGGGGCGCTGCAGCCTCCGATCTGCTAATTTGTGTTGGGACGTGCTGAAATTTCTCATAGGCGCCGCAATTGATAGAATGATCGGGAATGGCCGGGACATTACTTGGCTCCGATTTCCCCCACCGTCGAGTGGATCCGATGGAACTCAATTTTATGGATTGTCTTACGCTTGGTATGTGGTATTCTGCTCCCCGTTCTCCGCTGCTACTGACGATCCGGCTGACGGCTTTTGCCTTTGAGGCGACTGATGGGACGGCATGGGATGGGATGGGTTTTATGGGGCATCCAAACGAATTGGCCCACTGGGAATTCCTGCGCAATTGCCATTTCGAATGGCCGAAGTGTATCGCTAACATGAAAATATTTCACTCTTCTTGCTCTTAATTGATGGACGCTTTTGTTTTTTTTTTTGGTGGTAATTGTGGCCTATGAAACCGATGGGCCCTAATGAGCTGTACTTGACTGATATTGAAGACAAATTGCAGCCAATAACAATTAGTTATGTGCGGAAAAGATTGCGTTGAAATAACAGGGGTGCAGTCGCCAGTAGATTGCAGAGGAGCTCTAATATTAAGTTTCAAGAATTTTGTAGTTTTGACATGTATTTTGCTAAGATTTTACTAAGCCACAGTTAACCAGCGAATATATATATATTGATACATGTATATATGTTACTCTGTTTTCAAGACCTATGTTCTGAACCTCCCCTGGTCGCCCGGATCTTATCTTTGCCGACATAGTTAATCTGGGAACTCACCTCCTTTGCTGACAGAGGGTCGGATCCAAGTCCATTCTGCAAAGAGAAGCAGAAACAGGGAATTAAGAGTGGTACAATGCCCCTCTTTGCGTCGAAATGCAACAGGTTGGTTGGTGTTGGCCAGGGCTCCCCTTCGGCGCCCCTCGCCCCTCTTGACCCCTCGTGACCCCTTAACCCGCGAGTCACCAAAACAAACTTTCGGCTGACAGGGTCGCAGAGGTGGCCGAGAAAGGGGAGCACATGGCATATGGCGTTGGCGTTCGCATCGGTGTACTTACCATGAAAACCATTAAATTGTAAAACGTCTTACAAAATAATAATTGCAACGTTCTGGCCACGTTACAAAAGACAGGCAGCAGCAAGGGTTTCTGTTTTCTGTTTTGTGTTACCGGGCTTGGCGGGGAGAGGGGGTGGTGGGAAGGTGGAGGCGGATGCCTGAAATAATCGCTGTTTTGGTTTTGGCTTTTGCTTTTGCTTTTGGCCTGGCTTTTGTCGCAGCAGCTGTTGCCCGTGCTCTTTTCTGCCTGCAACTGCCGCATGCTATTTCGCATCCGCGGAATCAATGACAAAACGAGTGCAACGCACCTTGAGTTTTTGTTTTCTACCCTTTTCTTTTTTTTAATTTTTTTGTATCTTCTGCGCTTCTTTGTACTATTTATTTTTATTTATATTTGTTGTAGCTTGTTTATGCGTTTCGGTGGCGGGGGGCTACCCTTTGCGGGGAGGGGGGCCACCGTAGCAGAAGCAAAAGCCGCATTTTGTGTGGTAACGAATGCAGCGCGCGCAGTGCGTGACGAAGTTACTTAGTTACTGCTTAGCTACTTAGGCAAATATGTGATGAGCCGCCTAAGCATGACTAAAAAAAAATGAAATGAAATGAACTGAACTGAGCACCGAAAACGAACAGATTTTTCCAATTGAACGAGGCAGGGTGATAACTAAAATTGGCAATTACTAGTGGCCCTGCATCCGGTTTTAGCTACGTATGTATGTTATGTACATATAGTCTGCGGCTCACTTATTAGCACTTATTGCCGACGCTTCCTGGGCGGGGGTGTTACACTTGTTGTTGGGGGCTTGCATTTCCGGTTGGGCAGTCAATTGCAGTTCCCGGTCCCGCGGGCGCTATAAAACTCGCACTTAATTCGATCAACTGAGGCACATGCTACGGACACAACGCCCCACCAAGCAGCGTGTGTGTTGGTTGTGTTGCTATTATTTATTCCGCTGGATTCTTGGTTTTACTCGATGTTATTGTTGTTGTTGTTGTTGCTGGTGCTGCTGCTGCTGCCGCTGTTGTTGTCGCTGATGCTTTGTTGTTGTATTTATCGAGCGAGCGTGAGTGTGCAAATTACAGCACATCCGTCATTTTAATTTCACTTAAAACGCCATTTAAAGCGTCGCACCAACACAAACACTAAGTTGCAGCACGCAGTGCAAGCACGCACGCATGCGCAGAAACGCCGGTTAGGATAGCGCAGCGGAACGAAACGGAATGGAACGGCCTGCGCATATGTCAACTAATATTTTATAATCATATCATAATCGTATGCTCTGGTATTCTGCATTATTGTTTCTTTCTATTCAACTGAGTTTCAATGCTGAGCTGAGCTAAAAAGCGAGGAGAACAGAAGCGTTTCCCGCACGTAGCACGTTTGAACGCGGCGCGGAGCAAACTTGCTCTGAGCTCTTCGAATTTTAACCGCCAACTTTGGCTCCCCGAGCGTGGTGAGCTTTGGCGCCCGCTACTCACCACACCTCGCACACGCATTTGACATTCGCGCGCGCGCCTGTGCTTGTGTGTGTGCACCACTTTGTTTGTTTGTTTAGTTAAGGTGGAGCTAGGCTAAAATGACAAGTTGGCGCTTATGTTATTGGGTGGCCAACACTGGCGCGCCTGTGTGTGTGAGAGCCCCCACCCATGTGCGCCAGTGTGCCCGTGTACCAGTGTGTGTGTGAGCGCTTTTGCCACCCGTGTGGGTGTGTGTGTGTGTGTGTGTGTGTGCGCTGGCTGTTAATTAACATGCAGCACACACACGCAGACAGAAGCTTGACAAGCTCAAAGTGTAGGTGTTTGGCGCCAGCGATTTCATTGGCTGACGGACCCTTGAAAGCGGGGTGGTGGTGACGCAGGTGGAGCAGGTGGGTCATGTGTGTGAGGTGAGTGGTAGCAATTAACACAAGCGCAAGATACTTTTTGGAGCACTCGCTGACAGCAGCCGCGGCTTCCATCGAGCGACTTTATTCCTAATCGCAGGGGCTGCATCGCACACGATTTTGCCAGCTTAGCACAGTCGAAATTAGCTTAATCTAGTTACTATGCGCTAATCAAACATAAGTATTTGTATACATAGGGCGGACACAGTTGAATAAATACTTATATATGTATATGTAATTATACACATAACCTTATTTAAAAATAATTTAAAATTTTATTGTGATTTGATATAAACATAGAACAGAGATTGCATATGAAAGAAATTAAATAAAAATATGAATCATGATATCAGGGAAGGTATTCCTGTTTCTTAAGTAGCTGTTAACAAAGTTTTGCCTAATGACAATTCAAAAGAGTTGTTATAATGGTTTTAACAATCAATCTTCTTTGATGCTTTAGTCCATAATAGAAAAAATTAGATTCTCACAGAAGAACTTTCATAAACATAAATTTGTCATTTGGATCAAATAGTATAAAACGAAGATCCATACGTTCCATTTAATAGCTACAGATTTGATTTTAAAATTCGAGAATACTTATCCGATGTAGCGTATTTCCACTAAAAGATCAAAAGCTGTGGGAGTTTGCCCGCCGACCGCTCAGCGCCCCGTTTTATCCCAGCACCCAACCCGTTAGACGTCGCCAGACTACCTGATCCACTTTTCCACGCGCTTTGACGACCATTTTTGGTAACAATAAATCGTGATACATCATCAAAAGTCAATTCGAATATGTAGACAACGCTGCGCGCACGGCAGGCAAAAAATATTTTAATTTTAATTGATTGTCGAGCGAGATTTACGTGCACCAAAAGTTTCTTCTCACGCTCCGCAAACACTGCCACACACATGGTTTTTGCGATGGCAGGATTAGAGCATTGTCAAAATGGAAAGTTGGTCCGCTTGGAAATCGTTTGGCAATCGCACCACGCAGAGCTGCAAAAAACGACAAGAGATGAAAAACAGAAGCAGCATCCGTGAAAAAAAGTAATACGCAAAATACCTTTTCCAGCTTCTCTCTCATTTGGTTTTTTTTTCGTTTGATTTGGGCTCGTAAACGGAATTGAAATCAATAAACTACGTGACTGCAGCGTGTCCAATTTGAACATTAAGATCATTTTGAATGGTCGTATCTACAACATTGCTACACTCGCTGTGGCGCCATCTGCCAGGGAAAAGGGGCAACGAGATGTTTATTAAAATGCTCTGTGTTTTTAGAGAATGATACTTGAAAAGCATGTCCTTAAACGATACTAACTTCCCCCAAACTGCTAGTTCACATATGACTAATTTGAAGTCATGGTCTAAAAATTATTTAAAGCACACTTTTCAATGCATACTTTCAGGCGTGCTGTGATGTTCACTTTCTTAAAGTATATTTATACTTCTAATCCAAAAAGTTGGCAACTTATATTTCAGCTATTTGACCAATAAGAGCATGGAATTTGCACTTTTGCTTCTTAGAATATAAAATAATCTCACACTTAAGTATAGTTCTGCATTAATTAACGACCAATGATATATTGTTTATATTAGTCTGTGTTTTACGAGTAAAACAACAATAATAAATGTGCTAAGTGCAGTAAATCATATTGCTCATCATATCATAGCTCCTAGGACCAGGTAGCTTAGGCACAGGGCAAAACCCTGTTGGTGGTTTTTCTAAGGGGTCCATTTCGTGTCCTGGGTTTTGCTATTACCTAAGCCGACGATCGGCGATCGGAGATCTTCGATCGTGGTTTTTTCCAGCGGAAGTTCGCGATCTGCATTAATCGGGTATTTTTGGTGGCCGCGGCAGGCAGGCAGATAATTATATCCGGAAATTTGACTTTTCGCTCGTATTTTTCTGGATTTTCGGAGCTCCGAGCGGTATTCGCCCGATTTTCTCGGTACGTGTGTGTGGGAATTCACTAATTAGGCATAATGAAACCTTTTCGTGGAGTTCCCCTCGGTTAGGGTTGTGGATTTGCATACTTTACGATGGTTGGCAACGGATGATTATATAAGAGCGGAATGATTTCGATGGGCAAGCGTCTAAACATTTCGGCTTGTTTCCTGGGAAATTCCAGCCACTCCAAAGTATCTAGAAACTGAAATTCCCCCGCACAGAAAAGTTGATTGGGTAAATATGCAATCAGATAACTTGCACTAAAACTTATATTCGGTTTGTACATATTTACATCTAAATGAATTTTATGACCGATTTATGTTAATTCGGCTGCTTTAGATCAATGCGATTGCTTTTAGTTTTTGTAAGAAATATAATAAAGAAAATATAATAAAACGCTGTAAACAACAAATTTCAGAGTAGTTCGGACTTGGAATGGCACAACAAAATCTTTATCTACCAATATCAAATTTCCCGGTATTTGTTTTAAACTATAAACAAAATGTATCATTACGCTGAGAACACTTTTTTAAGACCTCGAAACTTCGTCATTATAATACACATATCTAATAAATTGCTGTCGATCCGAAGATCTTCTCAATCCCCTTTTTGAATCAACAAGTAAAATATTTCAAAAATTGCCGATAATTCCCCTCGTCTTCCCCGTCCACGGATCGCTTCGCATATTTCCCAGGCATTTTCCCAAATCGAGAGAAAACCCAAAGAATAACCCAAGAGAAAGATCCAGAGCGCAGAGTCAAGGCTCTCTTCCATTTAGCTTTGTATCTGCGTTTTGCAGCCGCCGCTGCCGCTCGAGAAAATCGAAATACCCCGCCGCCTGACGTCATACCTGCTGATGCCGCAGCTTCCGCCATCGAGTGCGAGCGGGACGGCCACACAGGCGAGCGAGCGGGACGACGATAGAGCGGCGGCAGCGAATGGCCGTCGAGCAGCCGCAAAATGTCAATTTGAGCAATGGCCGGAAGGATCCTGCGTCAGTTGCGTTCCGTCAGTGCGTGCGAGCAGATCGATCCACCAAAACGCGGGCGTGAATAATACCACGGAGTTCTACTGTTCCGAAATAAGAATAAATAGTTAGAAATCACAAATCCTAACTCAAGAAGTGCGCTAAAAAGCCCAGACAGATCACCAAATGATGAGCGCTCGCTCGGTGTCGCCCAAAGTGCTGCTGGACATTAGCTACAAGCCCACACTGCCCAACATCATGGAGCTGCAGAACAATGTGATCAAGCTGATCCAGGTGGAGCAGCAGGCCTACATGCAGTCCGGCTACCAGCTGCAGCACCAGCAGCAGCACCTCCACTCCCACCAGCACCACCAGCAGCACCAACAGCAGCAGCAGCATACCCAGTACGCCCCACTGCCCTCGGAGTACGCCGCCTATGGCATTACCGAGCTGGAGGACACCGACTACAACATACCCAGCAACGAGGTCCTGAGCACCAGCAGCAACCAAAGTGCCCAGAGCACCAG